TTTGGATTTTTTAGATTTTTTGGTTTTTTAATTTTAATTTTTTTGGAATTGTGGGATATTTTCCGTTTTTTGGGCTTCTTAAATTCTTTAGATTTTTTTTTTAGATTTTTGTTTATTTTTTGGATATTTACGATGTTTTGGTTTATTATATTTCTTGTATTTCTGGAATTTTTTTGGCTCCGCCCCATAATTGCAAAATCCATATTTCCTTGCAAAAATGTACCATTTTAATCATGTTTCTTGTTGTGAAAAGATGGCTATATATAAAGAAAAAAAAAAAGGCCCCGCCCACCCACCCTATCTCGATTGTGACGATTTTTTTATTCGTCCTGAGCCAAGGGGGCGGGGCTTAACTGCAAAATCCTTATTTCTTTCAAAGAATACTACGTATATTAAGAAAAAATTAAAGCCAAAGATTAAGCCCCACCCACAGCTGCCTTGATTTAATAGTAATGAAATTTTCATTCGTTGGCAGACCTAGGGGCGGAGCCTAATTGCAAAATCCATATTTCCCTTCAAAAATTTGCCGTTTTAAACATATTTTAAGTTTCTAAGAATAAAAAAAAAGAGAAAGGGTGGGTGGGCGGGGTTTATATTTTGCCTTTTTTTTTTCTTAATATACATTGTATTGTTTGAACAATACGATACTCAAGAACACGTTTTCAATTTCTTGTAAAGAAATAAGTATTTTGCAGTTAAGCTCCGCCCCATAATTGCGAAATCCATATTTTCTTGCAAAAATGTAACATTTTAACTATATTTTAAGTTTCTTGTTGTGAAAAGGTGGCTATGTATATTAAGAAAAAAAGGCAAAATATAAGCCCCGCCCACCCGCTCTTTCTCAATTCTGACGATTTTTTTTATTCGTCGTAAGCCGAGGGGCGGAGCTTAATTGTCAAATCCTTATTTATTTACGAGAAATTACCGTGTGAAATGTGTTCCTAAGTATTTAAAGAAAACTAAATGTATTAATTGAAAAAGAAAACCAAAGAGAAGCTCCACCCATCTGTCTCAATCTCAATCGTGATGAATTTTTCATTCGTTGTCAGACCAAGGGGCGGAGACTAATTGCAAAATCGATAAAATTTACCATTTTAAACGTGTTTTAAAAAAATGGGCAAAAAGTAAGTAACGCCAACATCAACGGCAAGTTTATAAATCGACCTTTAGTACCTCTATATCGCTTGTAAGTGGTGCCAACCTCTCCACAACGTCATCCACTAAAGCAGGATCTGGCACATACTCCCCAAGTGTGTCTCCTACAACAACCTCAGGCCACATCAAGCCACTTTCAGACTTCTGCAAAACGACCTCTAATGTATCTCCCATGACGGTCCAACAAGTCATGTCTGAGTCTGTCCTTTGATACAAACCACCCTCTAAAAGAACTTCATCGCCATTTTTAATTTTTGAAACTATTGGATTTCTTGAGTTTCTTGGGTTTTTTAATTTCTTTGGCTTTTCGGATTTTTTGGATTTATTTGGTTTTTCGGGTTTCTTGGATTTTTTAGTTTCTTTAAATATTTAAATTTTTGTTTTCTTATGTTTGTTCGATTTTTCAATTTTTTTGATAATTTTTTTTTATTTTTTTATTTTCTGATTCCTTGGATTTTAAAATTTTTGACATATTCCATTTTTTGTATTTTGAACTCTTCGAGATATTTTCTTAAATTTCTAGATATTATTTTTAATTTTTTTTTATTTATGTTTTTTTTTTCATTTTTTCTTGAATTTCTTAGATTTTTGGTTTGTTTAAATTTTTTTATTTGTTTTTATTTATTCGATTTTTCAATTTTTTGGATAATTTTTATTTTCTAGTAATTTTTTATTTTCTGATTTCTTGGATTTTTTAAATTTTTGACATATTTTCACCTTTTGATTTTTAGAATTATTGAATTACTTGAGTTTTTTCAGTTTCTTTAGATTTTTTATTTTTTTAAATTTTGAGTTTTTAGATCGTTTTGGATTTTTGAGATTATTGGTTTTTTTGAGTCTCTTGGGCTTTACGGATTTTTTGGATTTATTTGGTTTTTTGGGTTTCTTGGATTTTTTAGTTTCTTTTAATTTTTTTATTTTTGTTTATTCGACATTTTCAATTTTTTTGATAATTTTTATTTTGGTGTAATTTTTTGATTTTCTGATTCCTTGGATTTTTTGTATTGTTTGGATTTTTTGTTTTTTAATTCTTTTGGATTTTAGGCATAATTCGAATTTTTTGGAATTTTGGAACTATTGAATTTCTTACATTTTTGGTTTGTTTAAGTTTCTTTAATTTTTTGAATTTTTTTTATTTATTCGATTTTTCAATTTTTTGGATAATGTATTGTTTTGTTTTGGATTTTTGCAATTATTGGGTTTTTGAATTTCTTTGGTTTTTCGGATTTTTCGATTTATTTGTTTTCTTTTGATTTTTTCTATTTTTTGGATGTATTCGATTTTTCGGATTTTAAAAAATTTTTGGAATTGTTGGATTTTTTGAATTTCTTTGGGTTTCTTCGATTTTTTGTTTTGTTTGGATTTTTTTGTTTTTTGTTTTTTAATTCTTTTGGATTTTAGGCATAATTCGAATTTTTTGGAATTTTGGAACTATTGAATTTCTCACATTTTTGGTTTGTTTAAATTTTTTTATTTGTTTTTATTTATTCGATTTTTCAATTTTTCGGATAATTTTTATTTTCTAGTTATTTTTTATTTTCTGATTTCTTGGATTTTTTTAATTTTTGACTATTTTCACCTTTTGATTTTTAGAATTATTGAATTACTTGAGTTTTTTCAGTTTCTTTAGATTTTTTATTTTTTTAAATTTTGCGTTTTTAGATCGTTTTGGATTTTTGAGATTATTGGTTTTTTTGAGTCTCTTGGGCTTTACGGATTTTTTGGATTTATTTGGTTTTTTGGGTTTCTTGGATTTTTTAGTTTCTTTTAATTTTTTTATTTTTGTTTATTCGACATTTTCAATTTTTTTGATAATTTTTATTTTGGTGTAATTTTTTGATTTTCTGATTCCTTGGATTTTTTGTATTGTTTGGATTTTTTGTTTTTTAATTCTTTTGGATTTTAGGCATAATTCGAATTTTTTGGAATTTTGGAACTATTGAATTTCTTACATTTTTGGTTTGTTTAAGTTTCTTTAATTTTTTGAATTTTTTTTATTTATTCGATTTTTCAATTTTTTGGATAATGTATTGTTTTGTTTTGGATTTTTGCAATTATTGGGTTTTTGAATTTCTTTGGTTTTTCGGATTTTTCGATTTATTTGTTTTCTTTTGATTTTTTCTATTTTTTGGATGTATTCGATTTTTCGGATTTTAAAAAATTTTTGGAATTGTTGGATTTTTTGAATTTCTTTGGGTTTCTTCGATTTTTTGTTTTGTTTGGATTTTTTTGTTTTTTGTTTTTTAATTCTTTTGGATTTTAGGCATAATTCGAATTTTTTGGAATTTTGGAACTATTGAATTTCTCACATTTTTGATTTGTTTAAATTTTTTTTATTCGATTTTTCAATTTTTTGGAGAACTTTTATTTTCTGGTTTCTTGGATTTTTTGAATTTTTGACATATTTTCACCTTTTGATTTTTTATTTTTTTTTTTAAATTCTTTGATTTTTTAGATGGTTCTGAATTTTTTAGACTTTTGTATTTCTTGTATTTCTGAGGTTTTTTGGATTTTTAACATTTTTGGGATATTTTTTATTTTTGGATTTTTGAAATTATTGGAGTTTTTGAGTTTCTTGGGCGACTTGGATTTTTTAATTTTTTAAAAATGTTTTCGGATATTTTCAATTTTTTGTTTCTTAGATTTATTGGTTTTTTAATTTTTAGAATTGTTGAATTTCTTGAGTTTGTCGGGTTTGAATTTTTTTGATGTTTTAGATTTTTTGGTTTACTAGATTTCTTTTATTTTGTTTTTTTTTTGTAGTTTTAGAATTTTTGGGATATTTTCTATTTTTGGAATTTTAAAATCATTTGATTCATTGGCTTTTTGAGTTTCTTGGGTTTCTTGGACATTTTAAATTTTTAAACTTCTTTTCGCATATTTTCGATTTTTTGGATGATTGAATTTTTTGTTTTTTCGATTTTTTAGATTTTTTTTCTTTTTTTGCGATTTTAGATTTTTTAGATTTTTTGTTTTTTTAATTTTAAATTTTTTTGTAATTGTGGGATATTTTCCATTTTTTGGGCTTCTTAAATTCTTTAGATTATTTTTTTTTAGATTTTTTTTAAATTTTTTGAATATTTTCGATTTTTTGGATTATTATATTTCTTGTATTTACTGAGATTTTTTTAGGCTCCGCCTCATAATTGCAAAATCCATATTTTCCTTGCAAAAATGTACCATTTTAATCACGTTTCTTGTTGTGAAAAGATGGCTATATATGAAGAAAAAAAAAGTCAAAATATAAGTCCCGCCCACCCGCCCTGTCTCAATTCCGATGAATTTTTAATTCGTTGTCAGGTCGAGGGGCGGAGCGTAATTGCAAAATCGATATTTCCGCTATACAAATTCATCATTTTAAACATGTTTTAAGTTTCTTGTTGTGAAAAGATGACTACACATATTAAGAAAAAAAGGCAAAATGTAAACCCCGCCCACCCGCCCTAACTCGATTGTGACGGTTTTTTTATTCGTCGTGAGCCAAGGGGGCGGGGCTTAACTGCAAAATCCTTATTTCTTTCAAAGAATACTACGTATATTAAGAAAAAATTAAAGCCAAAGATTAAGCCCCACCCATAGCTGCCTTGATCTAAATAGTAATGAAGTTTTCATTCGTTGGCAGACCTAGGGGCGGAGCCTAATTGCAAAATCCATATTTCCCTACAAAAATTTGCCGTTTTAAACATATTTTAAGTTTCTAGTTAAAATTTACCATTTTAAACGTGTTTTACATTTCATATATTAAGAAAAATGGGCAAAATGTAAGTAACGTCAACATCAACGGCAAGTTTATAAATCGACCTTTAGTACCTCTATGTCGCTTGTAAGTGGTGCCAACCTCTCCACAACGTCATCCACTAAAGCAGGATCTGGCACATACTCCCCAAATCTGTCTCCTACAACAACCTCAGGCCACATCAAGCCACTTTCAGACTTCTGCAAAACGACCTCTAATGTATCACCCATGACAGTCCAACAAGTCATGCCAGAGTCTATCCTTTGATACAAAAAACCCTCTAAAAGAACTTCATCGCCATTTTTAACCTTAATTTACGTAGCCTGGACTTCCACAGTAACTAAATTCTTGCTAATATTAGTAGATTTCATCGTGGTTGGCAACACTTGCCAATTTTGACATCTTTGTTTACAGCCCACTATTTTGTAATCAATTTGTGTAATCAATTATCGCTAATTACCATCATGGACAGTCTGCAAGACTCCGAAATGCTCCAATCCAACGACAAATCCGACCTGTACTCCAGCATGTCCCAGAGCCACCTGCTCGACAGCAGCGACGTGACCAAGCGTCGAAGGTAATTTGAGGTTATGTTAAACTCTCCTCCAGCTCTGTTTTTAGCTCGAACCGGTCCATCAAGCGCAAGAAGTTCGACGACGAGCTGGTGGAATACAGTCTAGGCCTGCCTGGATTAAACACAGTAAAGGTAGCTCCCGATTTCGTGATTTTATTCATACCAACGACTTTATTTTTAGAGCAACCGGTCCCGCACCCAGTCGCATTCGGACTTCTCGGTGGCCAGTCCGTCGACTCCCCCGGTCGTAAGCGCCCCGGTGGTGAGCCACAGCGCAGACTTGAAGCGAAAACCGGCGTCCAAAACGGTGGCTAGCAGTTCGAGGCGCAACAAAAAGGGGCGCCAGCAGAACCAGTTCGCCACGAAAGACCTGGGGAGGTGGAAGCCGACGGACGATTTGGCGTTGATTATTGGGGTGCAACAGACCAACGACTTGCGGACGGTGCACCTAGGGACTAAGTTTTCGTGCAAATTCACTGTGCAAGAGTTGCAACAACGGTGGTATGCTTTGTTGTATGACCAAGCCGTGTCTAGAGTGGCTGTGTCAGCCATGAGGAACCTACACCCCGATATGATTGCAGCTGTGCAAGATAAAGCCCTATGGAGTCAAGGAGAAGAGCAGGTTTTGAGCACCATAAAATCAGTAAGTTTGTTAATTAAAAATAAAATAAAATTGTTGGAAACTTGTAGAGTGCTAACCCCACTATTGACATATTCGGCGAACTACTGGCCCAAAACCCCGACGTTTTCTACTCAGGACGGACCGCAAATGCGCTTTTTCGCCACTGGCAAACTCTAAAAATGTACCACTTGTTGCCCGACCAAGTTTTGGGGCCCTTGCCTACGTCGGGACGGCCTATAATGACGTTCAATGACGCCGAAGACATTATACAAGACTCTGAATTGAGCGAGCCCCCGGATGAAGCCCTTGACCGCGAACTGCGACTCCAACAAAGAAAAAATATCAAACAAATCAGACAGTTGGAGAACGAGGTTGGCAGATGGAATGTCCTGGTTGATAGTGTGACGGGAATTTGTCCCGGTGAGTTGGACGGACAAACTTTGGCAGTATTACGTGGTCGGATGGTGCGGTACTTAATGAGGAGCAAAGAAATCATTATTGGAAGGTGCGCAAAGGGCTACAACGTCGATATAGACCTAAGTTTGGAAGGGCCTGCACATAAAGTATCACGGCGCCAAGGGACTCTCCGGTACGTTAGTTTACTGTGTTGGAAAATCATACAATTGTGGTTCTAGGTTGCGAAATACGGGCGAATTTTACTTGTCTTCGGAAGGGCGGAGGCCGATTTTCGTGGACGGGCGTCCAATCACAGCTGGGAATAAAGTGAGGCTGTACGACAACGCCGTTGTTGAGATTTCCTGTTTAAGGTTTATTTTTTCCGTGAATCATGATTTGATTAGAACAATTCATGATTCTTTAAGATATAATGGTCCGTCTTAAGTTGAATTGTGATGTTATTGTTAATAAATTATCGCAGAAAACCGACGGAATTTTCACTTGGTTTGATGTCGACTAGAGTTTCAATTAGAGCGTCGTGTAGGCGTTGGGCGACTTTGTGGCCCGTTTGGAGGCACTCTAGAAGAGTCTGCGGGTGTAGCGATCCGGAGCCGGTTTGCAAAATTGTGCTAAATTTGTTTCTAGAGACGGATATTACTAGAGCCCCTACGGAACATAGTTCTTCTGCTGCACTAGGGTCAACTATGCATTGTTCCCCGATTTTACACACAGTTACCTGTGGAAATAAATTAACAAAAAAGCGACCATGAGGTTTTTTTTTTACCATAATTGGGGCGCCTGTAACATCCAGTTTTTGACAATCATGTAACTCCTCTGACACTTCCATGTCAATATTATTACCATCTACGGTCACAGACTTGACCAGTGGTATTCGTGTGTCCCAGAGGGCCGCCTTTACAGCTATGGAGACAGCATCATACAAGTTACCCCCACACTCTAAAAGCTACAATTGAATTAACACACAACTAAAATCGCGTTTTTTACAAACCAGAATGTCCACAAAAATCTTCCAACATTTGCGCCCCTTCAAAATACACAGTTTAGTCAAATCAAAAACCTCTGGAGACCGATAAGCCCCAGCCAAACTATTTGAAATTTCTACAGCCAAATCTTCACCGCCTCGGCCCTCAAAATCCGGCGTGGCGTTCGCTGAACTACAAAAACGCAATCATTTCAGATTATACAAACCTTCCAAATTACCAATCCACGAAAAACTCCAGTTTTCCTTCTCTGGGGCGTTCCGGGTAAGGCACATCCACTTCAATTTTAACAGCCACCAACACATCAGTATTTGCAAGTCGTAATCGTGCGGAACCAAAGGCGTGAGACACGATGTTAGTTTCAAGCTCCATGGGTCTATAGTCTTCGCGTTCTCGCCCATCTATTCGGAAGTTTTCCTGTAATAAATCGAACTTAGGGGTGATTTTAATTGCGTCGCTACTTACTTCCACTCCGTGCAAAACAAACGTCTTTTCGGCTTCACACAATGCCATTTTTGGTATGTACAAAACAAAAATATTTTTCTAACGTGTTGATCTTACAAGTGGGGAACATAACCTCAATTATGTCAATGTTTTGATTTGTACTTTTCGTGGTTCGAGTCTCGAGCGACCATTTTCTTGCAATTTTCTACCAAATTAATGTAAATAATGTCGTGTTTGATGTGTAGTCGCGGTATAACTCACAATTTTTTCCCAAAAGCTGCATCTCGTTTAAATTTCGCGGTTGTAGTCATGTAGTGGAATGATAAACATGGCAAGCTTGAATGTACACATGGGGCCATTAATATTGACCGCCGCCCGCGGCCATTTATCCAATCATTGGAACAATTACTTTTAAAAAGTAATGCAGACTTTTCCAGATGTTTCTAGATTCTTTAAATTTTGCTAGATTCTTCGAGATTTCCTCATATTCCCTGGAAGAATCTGAGGAATCTCGAAAAATCTGGAAGAATCTGGAAGAATAAAAAACATAAAAATCTGAAAGAGAGAATCAGAAGGAAAATGAAAGAATCTGAAAGCATTTGTAAGAATATGGAGGAATTTGAGAGAAATTGCGAGATTGGAAAGAATCTGAGAAATTCGGAAAGTATTTGAAGGAATATGAGGAAACCTGTGGGGATCTGTGAAAATTTCGTAGAATCTAGAAAAATCTGGAAGAATTTGGAAAAGTCTGCAGGGATTTGAAAGTATCTGCACGGTTTTAAAACGACCTGAATAGAATCCAAAATTTTGAAAGAATGTGAAAGAATCCGAAAGGGAGAATCTTAAAAGAAGAAAAGAATCTGAAAACATCTGAAAGAATCCAAGAAAATATGTGGGAACATGAAACTAAGAATCGGAAAGAATTAGAAAGAATCAGAGGGGATCGGAAAGAATCTCAGGAAATCTAGACGAATCTAGGTAAACTTGGCAGAATTTGAGAGAATCTAGCAAAATGTAGAAAAAACTGGAAGAATCTGAAACAGTCTGCAGGGATCTGAAAGGATCCAAAGCAATCTTGAAAAATTCTGAGGAAATCTGAGGGAATCCTCATGGATATTGAGAGAATCTGAAAGAATAGAAGATGTACAACAATGTGTATTTTTTCTAGAAACTTTCGCATTAATTTTCTTGTTGTCGAAATAAGTCTACACATATTAAGAAAAAAAAAGGCAAAATGTAGCCCACCCTCCCTATCTCAATTGCAATGATTTTTTTATTCAGCGTGAGCCAAAGGGGCGGAGCTTAACTGCAAAATCCTTAAGTCTCTACGAGAAATTAAAACATGTTTTTGAGTATCGTGTTGTTCTGTGTATATTAAGAAAAAAATAAAGCCAAAGATTAGGTCCCACCCATACTCACTCCGACCTCAATTCTCAGTTGTGATGAATTTTTCATTCGTTGTCAGTTCGAGGGGCGGGGCTTAATTGCAAGATCCATATTTGTCTACAAGAATTTTAAGTTTCTTGTTGAGAAAAGACAAATATAAGCCCCGCCCACCCGCCCTATCTCAATTGTGATGATTTTTTTTTAATCGTCGAAAGCCAAAGGAGCAGAATTTAATTGCAAAACCCTTATTATCTTCTACAAGAAATTACCATGTGAATCATGTATTTGAGTATCGTGTTATTTAAAGAATATTATGTACATATATTAAGAAAAAATTAAAGCCAAAGATTAAGCCCCTCCCATACCCGCCCTGATCTAAATAGTAATGAAGTTTTCATTCGTTGGCAAGACCTAGGGGCGGCGAAGTCTAAGTGAAAATCCGTATTTTCTTACAAAAATTTACCATTTTAAACAATTTAATTGAGTTTTTGGGCTCAACGTTTCACACACTTTCGGAAGTGGCATCTTCAGGAGCAGGCTTAACCCCAGGAACTGAATCGAAAAACATAGTAGCTTGATGACCTGGGATTAAGATTTTCAAAAAATTAAAAGTGAAAATTTTTTAAAACATTCTAAACTTCGGTAAATTCATTTGGCGATTCTGGAAAATGTTAGGAATCTTCGAATAAATGCAGCTGAAAATAACTTCTGGAGGTGAAAATGTAAAAACAAATCCCTGTAATTTTCGAAAATCGTCAAAAAAGGGTTGAATATTTTCATATTGAAAATTTGGATTTTAAAAAAGTTGACTTAAAATCCACAAAAATTTCTGAACTATAGATCTCGACGAACACATAGTGGTTTGAAAACCTGAGATTAAGATTTTTAAAAAAATCCCTTCTAAAACCAATTAAAAAAAAAATTAAAATCGATAAATTTATTTGCGACTCTGGGAAATGTTATGAATTTTCGAAGGCATGAGGCTAAAAAATAATAGCTTCTGGAGCTTAAAAATGTTTGTTAATTTTGAAAATGTTCAGAAAAGGTTGAAAATTTGGATTTTGAAAAAGTTGACAAAAAATCTAAAAAAATTTCTGAATGATAGATTTCGAGGAATTGAATCACAATGTCTTGCCTAAAAATCTACAACAATTGATGACCTGGGATTAAGTTTTTCAAAAAATTCACTTTCAAAGTCAAAATTTTTGAAATAATCTTAAAAGTCGGTAAATTCATTTAGCTAATCTAGAAAATTGTAGGAATTTTCAAAGAAATGAAGCTGAAAATATCTTATGGAGGTTAAAATCTAAGAAAGAAACCCAGTAATTTTCGAAAATAGTCAAAAACGGTTGAAAATTTCGTAGTGAAAATTTGGATTTTGAAAAAGTTTTCCTGAAAATCCTCAAAAATTTCTGAACGATAGATCTCAACGAATTGAATCGAAACACAGTTGGTTGATGACCTAGAATTAAGATTTCGGAAAATAAAATTCCCATTCAAAGTCAAAATTTAAGAAAAAAAATCAAAAATTCCGTTCTTTTGGCGATTCTGGAAAATGTTAAGAATTTTCAAAGAAATGAAGCTGAAAATTGCATCTGGAGGTTAAAATCCAAAAACAAATTCCTGCAATTTTCGAAAATGGTCAAAAAATGTTGGAAATTTCGTACTGAAAATTTGAATATTGGAAAAGTTGCCTAAAAATGCACAAAATTTCTGAACGATGGATCAAGACGAACAGAATCAAAACATTGTGGGTTGATGACCTGGGATTAAGATATTCCAAAAATTCACTTTCAAAGTCAAAATTTTTGAATTAATCTTAAAAGTCGGTAAATTCATTTAGCTAATCTAGAAAATTGTAGGAATTTTCAAAGAAATGAAGCTGAAAATATATTATGGAGGTTAAAATCTAAGAAAGAAACCCAGTAATTTTCGAAAATAGTCAAAAACGGTTGAAAATTTCGTAGTGAAAATTTGGATTTTGAAAAAGTTTTCCTGAAAATCCTCAAAAATTTCTGAACGATAGATCTCAACGAATTGAATCGAAACACAGTTGGTTGATGACCTAGAATTAAGATTTCGGAAAATAAAATTCCCATTCAAAGTCAAAATTTAAGAAAAAAAATCAAAAATTCCGTTCTTTTGGCGATTCTGAAAAATGTTAAGAATTTTCAAAGAAATGAAGCTGAAAATTGCATCTGGAGGTTAAAATCCAAAAACAAATTCCTGCAATTTTCGAAAATGGTCAAAAAATGTTGGAAATTTCGTACTGAAAATTTGAATATTGGAAAAGTTGCCTAAAAATGCACAAAATTTCTGAACGATGGATCAAGACGAACAGAATCAAAACATTGTGGGTTGATGACCTGGGATTAAGATATTCCAAAAATTCACTTTCAAAGTCAAAATTTTTGAATTAATCTTAAAAGTCGGTAAATTCATTTAGCTAATCTAGAAAATTGTAGGAATTTTCAAAGAAATGAAGCTGAAAATATCTTATGGAGGTTAAAATCTAAGAAAGAAACCCAGTAATTTTCGAAAATAGTCAAAAACGGTTAAAAATTTCGTAGTGAAAATTTGGATTTTGAAAGTTTTCCTGAAAATCCCCAAAAATTTCTGAACGATAGATCTCGACGAACTGAATCGAAACACAATTGGTTGATGACCTAGAATTAAAATTTCGGAAAATAAAATTCCCCATTCAAAGTCAAAATTTAAGAAAAAAATAAAAAATTCCGTTGTTTTGGCGATTCTGGAACATGTTAAGAATTTTCAAAGAAATGAAGCTGAAAATTGCCTCTGGAGGTTAAAATCTAAAAACAAATTCCTGGAATTTTCGACAACGGTCAAAAAATGTTGGAAATTTCGTACTGAAAATTTGAATATTGGAAAAGTTGCCTAAAAATGCACAAAATTTCTGAACGATGGATCAAGACGAACAGAATCAAAAACATTGTGGGTTGATGACCTGGGATTAAAATATTCCAAAAATTCACTTTCAAAGTCAAAATCTTAAAAGTCGGTAAATTCATTTAGCTATTCTAGAAAATTGTAGGAATTTTCAAAGAAATGAAGCTGAAAATATCTTATGGAGGTTAAAATCTAGGAAAGAAACCCAGTAATTTTCGAAAATAGTAAAAAAAGGTTGAAAATTTCGTAGCGAAAATTTGGATTTTGAAAAAGTTTTCCTGAAAATCCCCAAAAATTTCTGAACGATAGATCTCGACGAACTGAATCGAAACACAGTTGGTTGATGACCTAGAATTAAAATTTCGGAAAATAAAATTCCCCATTCAAAGTCAAAATTTAAGAAAAAAATAAAAAATTCCGTTCTTTTGGGGATTCTGGAAAATGTTAAGAATTTTCAAAGAAATGAAGCTGAACATTGCCTCTGGAGCTTAAAATCTAAAAACAAATTCCTGGAATTTTCGAAAATGGACAAAAAATGTTGGAAATTTCGTACTGAAAATTTGAATATTGGAAAAGTTGCCTAAAAATGCACAAAATTTCTGAACGATGGATCAAGACGAATAGAATCAAAAACATTGTGTTGATGACCTGGGATTAAGATATTTCAAAAATTCACTTTCAAAGTCAAAATTTTTGAAATAATCTTAAAAGTCGGTAAATTCATTTAGCTAATCTAGAAAATTGTAGGAATTTTCAAAGAAATGAAACTGAAAATATCTTATGGAGGTTAAAATCTAAGAAAGAAGCCCAGTCATTTTCGAAAATAGTAAAAAAAGGTTGAAAATTTCGTAGCGAAAATTTGGATTTTGAAAAAGTTTTCCTGAAAATCCCCAAAAATTTCTGAACGATAGATCTCGACGAACTGAATCGAAACACAGTTGGTTGATGACCTAGAATTAAGATTTCGGAAAATAAAATTCCAATTCAAAGTCAAAATTTAAGAAAAAAATAAAAAATTCCGTTCTTTTGGCGATTCTGGAAAATGTTAAGAATTTTCAAAGAAATGAAGCTGAAAATTGCCTCTGGAGGTTAAAATCTAAAAACGAATTCCTGGAATTTTCGAAAATGGACAAAAAATGTTGGAAATTTCGTACTGAAAATTTGAATATTGGAAAAGTTACCTAAAATGCACAAAATTTCTGAACAATGGATCAAGACGAACAGAATCAAAAACATTGTGGGTTGATGACCTGGGGTTAAGATATTCCAAAAATTTACTTTCAAAGTCAAAATTTTTGAAATAATCTTAAAAGTCGGTAAATTCATTTAGCTATTCTAGAAAATTGTAGGGCTTTTCAAAGAAATGAAGCTGAAAATATCTTATGGAGGTTAAAATCTAAGAAAGAAACCCAGTAATTTTCGAAAATAGTCAAAAACGGTTGAAAATTTCGTAGTGAAAATTTGGATTTTGAAAAAGTTTTCCTGAAAATCCCCAAAAATTTCTGAACGATAGATCTCGACGAACTGAATCGAAACACAGTTGGTTGATGACCTAGAATTAAAATTTCGGAAAATAAAATTCCCATTCAAAGTCAAAATTTAAAGAAAAAATAAAAAATTCCGTTCTTTTGGCGATTCTGGAAAATGTTAAGAATTTTCAAAGAAATGAAGCTGAACATTGCCCCTGGAGGTTAAAATCTAAAAACAAATTTCTGGAATTTTCGAAAATGGTCAAAAAATGTTGGAAATTTCGTACTGAAAATTTGAATATTGGAAAAGTTGCCTAAAAATGCACAAAATTTCTGAACGATGGATCAAGACGAACAGAATCAAAAACATTGTGGGTTGATGACCTGGGATTAAGATATTCCAAAAATTCACTTTCAAAGTCAAAATTTTTGAATTAATCTTAAAAGTCGGTAAATTCATTTAGCTAATCTAGAAAATTGTAGGAATTTTCAAAGAAATGAAGCTGAAAATATCTTATGGAGGTTAAAATCTAAGAAAGAAACCCAGTAATTTTCGAAAATAGTCAAAAACGGTTAAAAATTTCGAAGTGAAAATTTGGATTTTGAAAGTTTTCCTGAAAATCCCCAAAAATTTCTGAACGATAGATCTCGACGAACTGAATCGAAACACAGTTGGTTGATGACCTAGAATTAAAATTTCGGAAAATAAAATTCCCCATTCAAAGTCAAAATTTAAGAAAAAAATAAAAAATTCCGTTCTTTTGGCGATTCTGGAAAATGTTAAGAATTTTCAAAGAAATGAAGCTGAAAATTGCCTGTGGAGGTTAAAATCTAAAAACAAATTCCTGGAATTTTCGAAAATGGTCAAAAATTGTTGGAAATTTCGTACTGAAATTTGAATATTGGAAAAGTTGCCTAAAAATGCACAAAATTTCTAAACGATGGATCAAGACGAACAGAATCAAAAACATTGTGGGTTGATGACCTGGGATTAAGATATTCTAAAAATTCACTTTCAAAGACAAATTTTTTGAAATAATTTTAAAAGTCGGTAAATTCATTTAGCTATTCTAGAAAATTTTAGGAATTTTCAAAGAAATGAAGCTGAAAATATCTTATGGAGGTTAAAATCTAAGAAAGAACCCCAGTCATTTTCGAACATAGTCAAAAAAGGTTGAAAATTTCGTAGGGAAATTTGGATTTTGAAAAAGTTTTCCTGAAAATCCCCAAACATTTCTGAACGATAGATCTCGACGAACTGAATCGAAACACAGTTGGTTGATGACCTAGAATTAAAATTTCGGAAAATAAAATTCCCATTCAAAGTCAAAATTTAAAGAAAAAATAAAAAATTCCGTTCTTTTGGCGATTCTGGAAAATGTTAAGAATTTTCAAAGAAATGAAGCTGAAAATTGCCTCTGGAGGTTAAAATCTAAATACAAATTCCTGGAATTTTCGAAAATGGTCAAAAAATGTTGGAAATTTCGTACTGAAAATTTGAATATTGGAAAAGTTGCGTAAAAATGCACAAAATTTCTGAACGATGGATCAAGACGAACGAATTTTTCAATTTTTCGAATTTTTCTGGATTTATCGAGATTTGGATTTTTCGATATTTTGATTGTCAATTTCTCAATTTATAAATTGTTCAATTTTTAACTTTTCGATTTTCGATTTTCGCCAATTTTGGTTTCTCAATTGTTCGACTTTTCGACTCCACGATTTCTTGATCTTTTGATTTTTCGATTTCTCAGTTTCGATTTTTTAAATTTGGGAGTTCCGAATTCTCGATCATGGCAAGGTCATTATTAACGGCCCCCTCTGTACCACAAACGGTTTCAATTTTTAGTATCTTTGGTGGCGTGTGGTTGGTAACTTGAGTATTTTCCCGGCATTGCGTGTATTGGCGGTTGTTGGTGGTTTTATTGAAGAAAATCGCGCTATTTGTTGCATTAAAGCAAGAATTGGGGGTTGAAGAGGGTCAAAATGGACTTCCCTTACCGTGCAGAATATGCGAAAAGTGGACGTTCAAGTTGTCGGGGGTGTAAATCGACAATTGGGCAAGGAACACTCCGGCTTGCCGTCATGGTCCAGGTAACGATTGTTGTAAATAATGAAATCGTTTGTTTTGTGTTATGATTGCGTAACATGGTGTAAATCACCCCTATTTTTGTTTATTTATACTTCAGTCACCAGTTTTCGACGGCAAAACCCCTAACTGGTACCACCACATGTGTTTCTTCAGTAAACAGCGCCCCAAATCCGTCGACGACATACAGCACTTTGAAGCCCTACGACTAGAAGACCAAAAAAAAATCAAAGACAAAATAGGTACTAACCCCTTAGTGTGTCCACATAACCTACAATAAATTTCACAGGCTCAGGAGGGGCAGCTGTAATTGTACCAGACACCAAAGCCAAAGGCAAAAAACGAGACGCCACTGCGGTTGCGGCGAAAAAGGCGGCCCTTAAGGACTTCAAAATCGAGTACGCCAAGTCCGGTAGGGCCACGTGTAGGGGGTGTGAGCAGAAAATACTAAAAGACGAGGTAACAAAAATTGCGCAGTTACGTCGATTTGTACAACGAGTTTTGCAGGTGAGAATTTCAAAAAAAGATTTCGAGACTGAAGTAGGCATGAAGTATGGGGGCCAAGACATGTGGCACCATCTTTCCTGTTTTGCGAAATTGCGGTCAGAACTGGGTTATTTTGAGTCCGCGGAGGCCTTGCCTGGGTTTAAATTACTGAATAAAGCTGACCAGGCGGACGCTAAGAAAGAATTGCCGTAAATAATCGCGCAGTTGTGTTTTTTGTGTTTTGATGGAGGTTTGTAGGCCAATCAAGCAAGAGGAGGTTCCTGTTAAAAAATTGAAAAGCGAAAATTCAGGTGATGAGTTTACAGAGAAAGAGTCAAAGTTGTACTCTGAACAGAACAAAATTATGTATAAGTATAGGGATCAGCTGGAGAAGAATTTAACTAAGAACGAGTTGACGGAATTGCTGCAATACAACGACCAAGACGTTCCTGCTGGTCAAGATAGGGTCAGTGTTTGGCGTGGTTTGATTTTAAATAATGTGTGTGTTTTTCGTAGATCTTGGATAGGCTGGCGGATGTTATGACTTTCGGGGCTCTCCTTCCATGCAAAGAATGCACAAACGGGCAGTTTGTTTTTGAAAAGTTTGGCTATAGGTGTCGCGGACATTTGACAGAATTCACCACTTGTAACACACTTGTGGTACAACCAGAGAGAACACCCTTCCAAGTCCCGTCAAATCTCGCCAAAGAGTATCCGTTTTTGAAAAAATATAAATTTGTGGCGAGAGATCGGGTGGTGAAAAAGGCGCCGCCGTCTCTGGAGGTGAAAAAAGAGGAGGAAAACGGGCAGTAAGTTTAAGTCTGAGTATGTTTCAAACAGTCTAATTTTTTTTTTTTTTTTCAGACCAAAAGTGGCTAGGCAAGCACCAGCGCTCTACAATATGGAGTTTGTGATTTTGGGCCAGCCCAAGCGCTCTAAAGAGGAGTTGAAGAAGCAGATCGCTAAATTGGGGGGTAAAGTGACCACTAAGATCAGTGGGACGGTGATGGCGGTGTTTGCGTCGGAAGCCGACGTTGAAAAAATGGGGGCCCGGATGCAGACTGTTCAGGATAATCAAGTTCATGTCGTTCCGGAGGAGTTTGTGGATGAAGCGCCGCAGCACGTCGGGAAAATTCCGGAGTTGGTGGTCGCGAAGTCGATTTGTGATTGGGGTTCAGATGTGAGTAGTCAAATTAAAGTTTTTTTTTTTTGTGCAACTTTATTTATTTATATCTAGTTGAAATCGATCTAGAATTTTTGGCGAATTTTTATTTTTAGAATCAGCTCGTCAAGATCTCTATCTGTGATTTTTTGTGAATTTTTAGACGATTTTTCCAAAAGCTCAATTTTTCAATGAAATTTTTGACTTTTTTTGAGTGTTTTCGAAAATTATCCGACGAGATTTCTTTTGTTGTTTTGTTTTCAACCTCGGCCTCCTGGAGTTATTTTCGGCTTCATTTCTTTGAAAATTTTTAAGCTTTCCCCAAAAATCCCCAAAATAATGTGTCAATTGTTTGAATTTTCAGTATACTTTCAAATATTTCAAAAATCTTGGTCCAGGTCATCAACACGCTGTTTTTCGATTCAAGCCGTCAAAATTTATATACGTGATTTTTTTGTGAATTTTTAGACAACTTTTCCAAAACCCCACATTTTTATTGAAATTTTTACTTTTTTGGCATCCCCGAAAATTGTGCAATTTTTAGAATGTTTCCCCAAAATTTGACTTTCAAACCGATTTTTCAAAAATCCAGTTTTTGGTTTGGTCCGGGATCATTAACACCCTATATTTTTCGATTCAACTCGTCAAGATGAATATCCGTGAATTTTTTGTAAATTTTTGGCCAATTTTTTTCAAAAGCTCAGTTTTTGGTTTGGTCCGGGATCATTAACACCCTATATTTTTCGATTCAACTCGTCAAGATGAATATCCGTGAATTTTTTGTAAATTTTTGGCCAATTTTTTTCAAAAGCTCAACTTTTTAATGAATTTTTTGCCTTTTTTCAACATTTTCCTAAATTACCTAAAGAAATTGTCAATTTTTAGAATTTTCAAAAAATTTACTTTCAAACCGATTATATTTTGAAAATGTTGAACCTCAATGATCAACACCGAATTTTTTTCAAATCAGCTGATCGAAATCTCCATCCGTGTTTTTTCTCCAGTATTTTGGGCAGCCTTTCCAAAAGTTCATTTTTCAATGAAATTTTTGATTTTTTTCAAGCATGAAGTTATTTTCGACTTCATTTCTTTGAAAATTCCTCAAAATCACTAAAATGAAACGTGACAATTTATCAAATTTTCAAAATATTTGACTTTCAACCCGAGTATTTAAAAAATCTTGTTTCTGAATCATCAATACGCAAAATTTTTCATTTCAGGTTGTCAAGATCTACATCCGTGATTTTTTTGTGGATTTTTCGGCAATTTTTCTAAAAGTTTAATTTTTCAATGAAATTTTTGACTTTTTTGACTTTTTTCGAGTAGTTTCGTTGGTAGATTTCGACCTCCTGAAGTTATTTTTGGCTTCATTTCTTCAAAAATTCCCACTCTTACAAGACTCTAAAACAAAATGTGTTAATTTTTAGAATTTTCAAGAAATTTGACTTTCAACAATATTTCGAAAATCTTAATCCGCGACCAAAAACACACATTTTTACTTTTTCATCAGCTTGTCGAGATCTGTATCCGTAATTTTTTGTGGATTTTTAGGCAACTTCTCCGAAACTTTTCAATGAAATTTTTGATTTTTCGAACATCTTCGAAAATTACCCAGCGGGATTTTTCGTAAATTTCGATTTCATGAAATTATTTTTTGGGTACATTTTTTACAAAATTCTTGGTTTTTCCCCAAAATACTGTGACAACTTTTAGAATTTTGGGCCGAAATCATGTTTTTTGTTTCAGCTCGTTTTTTTTTGTGGACTTTTAGGCAACTTTTCCAAAAGCTCGATTTTTTATTGAAATTTTTGACTTTTCGAGCATCTTCGAAAATTACCTGACGAATTTTTTTTGTATATTTCGACCTTCCGAAGTAATTTTCGGCTTCATTTCTTCGAAAATTCCCATTCTTACTAGAACTCTAAAATAAAATGTGGCAATTTTTAGAATTTTCAAGAAATTTGACTTTCAACAAAATATTTCGAAAATCTTGATGCGCGACGAAAAAACACATTTTTACTTTTTCACATCAGCTTATCGAGATCTATATCCGTGATTTTTTTGTGGATTTTTAACCAACTTCCAAAAGCTCAACTTTTCATTGACATTTTTGACTTGGGCATCTTGGAAAATGAAGGTGTTTTTATTAACTTCGTTTTTTTGAAAATTCCTAGTTTTTTTGTGAAGAAAATGCAATATGGCAATTTTTAGAATTTCTCCCCAAAATTTGAAAATTTGAGTTTCAACCTGAATTTTCAAAAATCGTGGTCTGGGATCTGCAACACCCTATATGTATTTTTCGATCCAACTTGTTAAGATCTATATCGGCGTGTTTTTTTTTGTAATTTCTTAGGCAATTTTTCCAAAAGCTCAAGTTAATGAAATTTTTGACTTTTTTTTAGCGTTTTCGAAAATTACCCAACGAGATTTTTTTGTAGATTTCGACCTCGTGAAATTATTATCGGTTCCATTTCTTTGAAAATTTAAAGTTTTTTCTCAGATTCGTCAAAATGAAGTATAGCAATTTTTAGAATTTTTCCAAATATTTGACTTTCAAACCGAATATTTAAAAAATCTTGGTCCAGAATCATCAATACCCTAAATTATTCGATTCGGCTATCCGTGATTTTTTTGAGAATTTTTAAGCAATTTTTCCAAAAGCTCAACTTTTCAATGAAATATTTGACTTTGAGCATTTTCGAAAATTACCCAGATTTTTTTGTAAATTTCGACCTCATGGCTTCATTTTTTTGAAAATTTTTAAAATTTTTCCCCAAAATTTGAGTTTCAAGTCGAATTTTCAAAAATCGTGGTTCGAGAACAACACCCTATATTTTTCGATTCAGCTCGTCAAGGTCTGTTTGCGATTTTTGTTTTCAATTTTTAGGATTTTTTTCCAGAAGCAAAATTTTTCAATGAATTTTTGGACTTTTTGAGTATTTGCGAAAATTAGCCAAAGAGATTTTTTTGTAGATTTCGAGCTTTCATTTCTTTGAAAATTGCTAGTTTTTTTTTCAATATCGTGAAGAAAATGAAATATGGCAAATTTTAGAATTTTGCCCCAAAATTAGATTTTCACACTGAATTTTCAAAAATCGTGGTCCGAGATCATCAACCCTATATTTTTCGATTCAGCTCGTCAGGATCTATATCCGTGAATTTTTAGCCAATTTTTCCAAAAGCTCAACTTTTCAATGGAATTTTTACTTTTTTTGTAGTTATTATCGGCTTCATTTCTTCGAAAATTCCTAGTGTTTTCTCAAATTCGCCGAAATGAAATATTACAATTTTGAGAATTTTATATTTAAAAAGTAGTTCGGGATTATGAAGACCCTATATTTTTCAAATCAGCTCATCAAGATCTATACACATACGTGATTTTTTTGAGGATTTTTAGTCACTTTTTTCAAAAGTTCAACTTTTCATTGAAATTTTTAACTTTTTTTTAACATTTTAGAAAATTACCCAACGACATTTTTTCGTATATCGACCTCATGAAATTATTATCGGCTTCATTTCTTTGAAAATTCCTAGTTTTTTCCCAGAATCGTGAAAATATGTCAATTTTTAGAATTCTTCCCCAAAATTTGACTTTCAACTCGAATTTTCAAAAATCGTGATTGGAGATCAACACCCTATATTTTTCGATGCAGCTGGTCAAGGTCTATATCCGCGATTTTTTATTGTCATTTTTTAGGATTTTTTTTTTTTCATATCTTTGAAAATTGCTAGTTTTTTTTTTTTATTCAAAATCGTGAAGAAAATGAAAGATGGTAATTTTTAGATTTTTGCCCCAAAATTTAACTTTCACGCTGAATTTTCAAAAATCGTGGTCCGGGATCATCAACACCCTAAAATTTTTGATTCAGCTACCAATATATATATAATTTTTGAGCATCCTCGAAAATTACTGAACAATTTTTTTTTGTAGATTTCGACCTCATGAAATTATTATCGATCCCATTTCTTTGAAAGTTTCTAGTTTTTTCTCAGATTCGTCAAAATGAAATTTCGCAGTTTTTAGAATTTTTCCAAAATTTTGACTTTCAAACCGAATATTTAAAAAAAAATCTTGGTCCGCGATCATCAAGACCTTATATTTTTCGATTCATGTCGTCAAGATCTATACATGTGTTTTTTTTTTTTGTGAATTTTTGGGCAATTTTCAAAAGCTCAGTTTTTGACTTTTTTGAGTATTTTCGAAAATTACCAAACGAATTTTTTTTTTTGTTCGTTTCGAGCTCTAAAATTATTATCGGCTTCATTTCTTCGAAAGTTTTATTTTTTCCAGAATCTCCAAAAGAAACTGTGCCAACTTTTAGAATTTTCAAGAAATTTGACTTTCAACAAAATATTTCGAAGATCCTAATCCGCGACCAAAAACACACATTTTACTTTTTCATCAGTTTATCGAGATCTATATCCGTGATTTTTTGAGGATTTTTAGGCAACTTTTCCGAAGCTTTTCAATGACATTTTTTATTTTTCGAACATCTTCGAAAATTACCCAGCGGGATTTTTCGTAAATTTCGATTTCATGAAATTATTTTTTGGGTACATTTTTTCCAACATCCTTGGTTTTTCCCCAAAATAATATGACAACTTTTAGAATTTTCAAAATATTTGATTTATTTCAAAAACCTTGGACCGAAATGATGTTTTTAGGCAACTTTTCCAAAAGCTCGATTTTTCAATGAAATTTTTGACTTTTCGAGCATCTTCGAAAATTACCAAAGGATTTTTTGTTCTATATTTCGACCTTCCGAAGTAATTTTCGGCTTCATTTCTTCGAAAATTCCCATTCTTACCAGAATGTCCAAAATAAAATGTGTCAATTTTTAGAATTTTCAAGAAATTTGACTTTCAACAAAATGTTTGTTTTGTGATTTTTTTTGTCCATTTTTAACCAACTTCCAAAAGCTCAACTTTTCATTGACATTTTTGACTTTGGCATCTTGGAAAATTACCTAACGAGATTCTTTTGTAGATTTCGACCTTGTGAAATTATCATTTCTTTG